CAGACTCACAGACCTACTGAACACTAAATGTCACAGACTCACGCTCCCTACTGAACACTACAATTCCACAGACTCACGCTCGACCTTGCGAGACGGAGATCTATGATTAACATCTAACAGTTTGTTGAAATGTTTTAGTTCCTCTGAGCTCCTTATCAATCTTGTTATCAGCATCTTATCTGACATGTGACAACTTTACAAAATCCTCTCAACTAAACTAGCTTCCATCTTATAAAATAAGAACATGACAGGAGTTATAAGATATAGCTATGTAAGTTTATTATCGCTCTCTCGTCTCCATTATAGATCTGACACCAATATTGTACAGTCTTTACTACAATTACATCACCATCATATTCCGTCACATCACCTAAAGTCACCTCACTATGTAAACCTTGTCAGGTATAATATTATACCTCATACACATTCCACACAATCTTATAGATAGTGGTTACTGATAAATCTGCTATCTGCATGAGAAGAAGAGCCCAGGTCAATGTGTACGGGATTTAATGATATAATATCATATCGAGTTCTATAAATGTTAGTTTGTGTAATAACGTTCATTCCATCTACTCCCACTCACTTGTACTAAAGCCACCTGCTCTTCAGTCTTCACTAACCTAGATCAGGGCCAGCAGAATTAAAAGGTTAAGAGCACATGGTGGAATGAAGTGGTGCAATGAAGTGGTGGAATGAAGTGGTGGAATGAAGTGGTGGAATGAAGTGGTGGAATGAAGTGGTGGAATGAAGTGGTGGAATGAAGCACGGTGGAATGAAGTGGTGGAATGAAGTGGTGGAATGAAGTGGTGGAATGTTCCTACTTTTATATGGTGGAATGTTCCAAACTGTGTAGTTATCAGATTGACAGATTTAAGGGGAGATATGTCATAGTTTGTAAGTTTGTTGCTCCTCTATAATAATGGGTATACTTAATTATAGACTACAATAGAATAATACATAGAATAATTTATAGAATCAAAGTGAGTTATACACAGCTGGACACCTAATAAATGATTTAATAAAAAGTGTTATGTATGAAAGATCAAGAAAGTCATAATTGAATTCTGTAACTGTAAGTAGTAAATTTTGCATTTCTTCTAATTTTGCACACAAAAACACTAAGAAGGGTAATGTCTAGAATAGTCTAGAATAGTCTAGAATAATCGCCTCAAAGGAAGGTTTCAAATTTCTGCTCACTCACAGTATCTTGATTTAACGAATTTAGGAATGCTGTGAGTTTTACTAAGATATTCCAGAGTGATTTAGTTATGTTTCATGTGTTATACCTATCAGCAACTGTAGATATGGATTCTGGTGGAGAGGTGAAGGATAATTTATTGACACGTGGCCGAAATTAACCAATCAGCTTCCACTATTGACCAATCAAATCCAAGAATCACTGTCACGTGCTAAACATGTATGCTTCACCATTTACTCAGAGTGTTTTAGTTAGGTCTCACGTGTTATACTAGCAAACTGTTAAATCTCAAGTTGCAAACACCACTAGCACACTCTACACATCATCGTTACAAATGATCATGAACAATAAACATCTATAAACATTTATAAATATTCATAAACATTTATAAACATTTATAAATATTTATAAACACTCAGTTTCATTTGCTATAATAGCAAAATGTAACCGTTAGTTCTCGAGTTGCACTCTTGCAGATCATGGTTTGAAACTAGTGGGTAGTCATCAAGTGTTTGTTATAACATCTCACTAGTCACTAGGTTTCTATTTATAAATATACAGGAAATGTGTGAATGACAGATGAACAAATAAATAAAATCAAATTTTGTATGTAGCACAACAATCGTATGTCGTTTTAAAGAGTTTCCTTTGAAATGCTCCTGATTATTCTCGAAAGTCAAAATAATGAAAAGCACTTTAAGAACATGATATTATTGCTCTATACATAATATAATCACACGAATAACTAATTTATAGTACTAACAGTAGTACACTCTATTATTTAAGATCGTATTATTCCGATTAGTGTCACTAAACTCACTGAATATATATATGAAAATGATAAACCGGCGTCTATCGGACATCTCCTGCAATAAAGAAGAGTTTGACAAAGCGAAAGGGATTTACGGAACAGCACTTAAAGAAAGCGGCCACGACCACCAACTAGAGTTTACAGATACTAGCACCGCCTTACCACGAGCCAACAGGAAGAGATCCAGGAAGATCATATGGTTCAACCCCCCATACAGCTCAAATGTAACAACAAACATAGGCAAGAGCTTCCTCCGATTACTAGACAAGCACTTCCCCAGAGGACACCAATTTCACAAAATGTTCAACAGAAACACAATTAAGCTATCATACAGTTGCCTACCCAACGTAGGATCCATCTTAGCGAGCACCAGACACCAAGCTCAGAAAGAACCTACAATTAAATCGAAAACGTGCAATTGCAGAAAGCCGGAAATGTGCCCACTGAACGGACAATGCCTGGAAGCAGCAGTGATATATGAAGCAACTATTGCAGTGGAAAATGAAAAGAAAGAGCACAAATATATTGGGCTTACTGAAAACACTTTTAAGACCCGTTTCAGTTCACACACAAGCTCTTTCAAACTCGAGAAGCTACGAAATCAGACGGAGCTATCTAAGAAAATATGGGAGTTGAAAGATAAACAAACACCATATAAAATATCTTGGAAAATAATCAAACATGCTCATCCGTACAAGGGGGGTACGAAAGATTGTCATCTCTGCCTTACTGAAAAACTTTATATTATTTTAAATAAAGATGGCAATCTATTAAATAGGAGGAGGGAACTCATAAGTAAATGTAGGCACACCAACAAGTTTATGCTGAAGAAATGCTTTTAGGAATTTTATTTTAATTTTAGTTTTTGTTCTTGTATTTCATTTTCGTTTCAATTTCGTTTCATTTCGTTTGATTTTGTTTTTGATTTAGTTTAGTTAAGTTAATTTTATGAAGGAGCTTGTAAGGAAAACATGGATTTATTAATTTATCAGCTCTTATATGGGCCCTCTTGACAAAATAATCACTCATGAGCTTATTCCAACTATGTTTGGTTGTCCAGTATCTCCTACACACCGAGAGCTTATGTCATTACCATTAAAGAACGGAGGTATGGGAATGCCACAGTTGGAATATCTAGCGAAAAGAGAACATGCTGCATCGCTTTTGGTAACCCGGGGACTGGTAAATTCCATGAAAGGTAAATCTCTTGCTGCAACCGACACGGAATCGACAGATGAGCTCCAAGACATGTTAAAACAGCGTGTTTTGGAATATAAAGAACAACAAGAGGAGATACTTAAAAAGGTTGATAAGAAGACTGCAAGGGTTTTGGAGCAGATTAGCGAACCAGGGAGCTCAAATTGGCTCTCATGTTTACCACTTAGAAAACATGGTTTCGTTCTAAATAAATCTGAATTTAGGGATTCTATCAGATTGCGGTACAACTTAGATCTGGATCGCTTGCCATCACAATGTCCATGCGGAAAAATGTTTGATGTGAACCATTCTCTAAATTGCCATCTTGGTGGCTACATCATTATCAGACACAACGAAATTAGGGATTTTTTAGCTGGCTTGCTGAACACTGTTTGCTCGGACGTGGAAGTTGAACCTCAACTTCAAGAACTAGAAGGAGAGCAGTTCAAGAGGTCCTCAACACTAACGGGTGACCAGGCAAGACCCGATATTAGAGCTCGTGGTTTCTATAGGCCGGGCCAAGTGGCTTTTTTCGATGTTAAGGTAATTAATCCTAATTCTAATTCCTACCTTCAACATTCGACAAAGAAGACCATGGAGAACGCCGAGAGACAGAAAACACGATGCTACAACGAGAGAATACTTAATGTAGAGCACGGATCATTCGCTCCATTAATTTATTCAGTAACTGGTGGCATGGGACCTCAAGCCAGGACATTTGAGAAACTGCTTTGCAACAAACTTGCTTATAAGAAAAAGCAGAATTACAACGATATTATAAATTTTTATCGGTGTAAATTATCATTTTTAATTAGAAAATTAATTTTATTGTGTATTAGAGGATCAAGAAATACCTCAAACAAAACTTACGAATTATCTAACATGGATGATTTAGAATTTAACTCTTTCGAATCGAAAGTCAACTAAATTTTTCAGTCCCATGGACTGGGTTTTATTTTTGCAATGATGATTTTCATAATATATAACCTGTAATACTATTTTGTATATATCTAATTTCGTTTTCCAAAAAAAAAATTTATTAATTTAGTAAGTTATTCTGACACTGATGATTGCATTTGCATGAAACTCTGAGTTTGTAGAATCGTTGTTTTCATTGTACAATGCTCCCCTCCCGGGTAGAGCACTCTTGAAACTGGATTTCTCCAAAAGAAAAGTCATAATATATATTATATATATCTCAATATGGCTTAATGAATTATCTTTCTTTGGTACGTCTTTAAAGTGTGATATAATTAATAACATTTACTGTATCAACTAAGATTTATCTTAATATTTAGTACAATCCATAATATTAATTAAGTATAAAGTTAGCAGAAGTGCTGGAATATGTATAAATTTATCTATATGTTTAAATTAACTAAAAACGAATTTAAGAAACATCATAATATATATTATATATATCTCAATATGGCTTAATGAATTATCTTTCTTTGGTACGTCTTTAAAGTGTGATATAATTAATAACATTTACTGTATCAACTAAGATTTATCTTAATATTTAGTACAATCCATAATATTAATTAAGTATAAAGTTAGCAGAAGTGCTGGAATATGTATAAATTTATCTATATGTTTAAATTAACTAAAAACGAATTTTATTTCAAGTTAATACTGAGGGTTATTTCAAGTTAATACTGAGGGTTAAATGAGGAGGGGTACCTGTTAAAAGTTCAAGAAACTTCCTAGGATACCCCTTCAGTGCATACTGTAAACATAGTACTATAATTAGAACTTATTTACTTATTTATTAAAATAACTCTATTTCAGGTGGCCCACATGACGAAGTCACCTCCAACCTTGGTGGTAGATAGCATAATGTTGGGACCTGCTCTCATGCTTATTAACCAGTACCTCAGTGCCCCAGTTCCTGAACAGTTCCTTTTATGGCTCGTCATGGTAATTTTAACTGTTTGCTTGTTTGTTTGTTTTTATGTATGTTTGTGTCTGTCTAAATGTATGTTTGTTTGTTTGTTTGTCTGTTTGTTTGTGTGTGTATTTATGTTTGTCTGTATGTTTGTTTGTGTGTATATTTGAATTAAGATTCAGTTTGTTTTTGTGGGTCTTCTTTAAATCGTACGACCCATACTGCATGCGACAGATTACTTTCACATATAAAATATGCTCTTATCTTCTTTCGAACAACAACTTCCAAACAACAAAAATGTTTGCCACGTATTTTTATTTATCGTATTTTTATTAATCTCAATATGTTTTTCCAACGTAACTTACTCTCTTAGTGTTACCTAAAATTCTCCATATTATATTACTTGTTCAATGTTGAGTGCTATTCGTACAGGAGAGACTGCGCTATGAACTGTGGGATACATACGTTATGATATGTTGTGTCCTGATAAGGTTTAAAAAATTATCACTGCATAATATTCATAATATTCAACTTTGCTGATTCGGATATTATGTGAAGGAATTTTCATCACGGATACTCAAAATATCAGCATAAAATTCCTCATCGATTCGAAATTAAGCTTCCCTCCATATTTTATAAAGGCGGGTTACAGGTTTCGTACACTTGTATAGCTTATCGGAGCGATGGAATATAATTGATTTAAATCGGATATCTTTGAGAAATCCATTGATCATTCACACTTTATTTCGCAAGACGCAACCCATTTAAACATTTTCTCTAAACAAAACTTACATAAGTTGAACCCTAGCATAAGTAAGTTGGTATCCGGCCATGCAACATATGCCACAATGCCCTCGTTGGAATTATGTATTATTCTCGTGTTACTCTAAAACCGTAAGAAATAATGAATCTATGTGACACACTGGCACTAGTGCAATTTAGAGAGATAAATGATCGCGTTTATGGAACGCGCGAAGACATTTTGGCAATGCAAGAGTGCGTGCTTTATTGCTTCGCTATTTTGCATTGAATATGAATTGAAACTAAAATTAATTTATTTTCCTGTATTTTAGCAACTTACTAAATTCAGCTAATCTGTCGTAGATTACGGATTACCCATCAACTGTCACCCAAAAATTCGACACAAATAACCATATAATCACTCAAAAATGAACCACGAGTTAAATTTTGCGCGGCTGCTGCCCCCATCTTGGCTCAACTCCAAAATACACACCACACATGAGGTGATCGCGACAAAACAAAAAAAGGCACACGTACCGCGTGATCCTCAGAGGCGTGTTGGTTATATTGTGTGGGGCATGGTAGCTGTGACTGTAGTGGTGTGATTCCATTGTGTGTTATCACTCAGGAATTTAAAGTTAGCAGAATATATTTATTATTTAACTTGCACTATAAATAAATATGATAAAGAAATATTTTATTTGTTGCATCGAAGTAGGAAATTTTGGGAACGTTACATAAAATTGATTAGATAATTAATTGAAAACCATTTCTCAAATTTATTGATAAGAGCATAGCATGACCAGTATATCGTCATAACTTAGCCTGATAACAGTTCTTACGTTTCCTTTTTCTTTCTATTCTGAAAAAAGAAATGAAACGTATGAGCTCATGCGTTTCCTTGTTGTAATAACTTCCCCCTGACTCATACATCACGACGCTTGTATATGAATACTAATAAGTCTGACGAAATAATTGAAACAACATCATACAAAAGTTAATTTAAACCGTACACCTAACCAATTATTTAATCATTTTTACAAGTTTACTCCGCAACTCACAAAGCAAACTTTTCAGTTGTTCACAGCATACGATAGCATCAGATATTGTGTGGACATTTGTAAAGAGATTTGTGCAGGCCTCAACATTCCCTGCCTCACTATGCCTGAAGGGGTGAGTTTAGCATATATTTTATTAATTTAGGGGTCGATCACATACCATGGAACTAGGGGGAAGTGGTGAGGAAATGCTCGCTCTCATTTCTACAGATATGTTTGCCCTTTGGTTATATGTAATATATGTGAACGATTCCTTATAGTGGCGGATTCATTTTATTTGAACGATTTGAAAGCTTTATAACTAACTTATTCGGTATACTTCAGTAATCAGTATTAGATGGTTTAAATGCCTAGGATATGTATTTTTAACCCCCCTGATATGTATCTTTAACCCCATTTACTTCAGGTGAAACTGGTGTCTCCTCCGCAGCCCACCAAACGAGCATCCCTCCGATCACGCGGTCCCTCAGAAATAGAATCCAGTCCTAAGAGACACTCTGTGCGCAGCGCTTATTCAATGAATGAGGTGCGCAAAACAGTCCGCACATCCAGCACATCTCGCATTGCGCGCATTGCACGACGCCCCACTGACTCGGGCTCCGGTGCGAGTATGAGCGATAAAAATTAGACTTATTTTTGGGGTGTGGTTGTTTTTATTTCGTTGATAGGAATGATATTTGTTAGTCAGAATGGAGAGAGAGAGAGAGAGCTCGAGGCTTGGGTACAGAAAATCCCAACCTAAGAATTAGAAAAATGTTTAAATTAGATCTTAGGGAGATGTTCTTACAATGCATTACAAATTTGGTTTGTCTCCAACAAACTGAAGTTGTTTGTTTTGGGGAAATGAGCTGGCATAGTATCGTGAGAACATCTCTTAAATGGATAGCATACATTTTAAGTTCAAAGCCACTTATTCGACCGGGACTATTAAGGTAAAGTCAAGTTTTGAATCCATCTTACCAACTGCTTACACCAGCGCCCATCAAATTGTTGTTGCAGCTCAAAAATAGTTCCGGTGTGCAATTGTTTATGCTATGAATCTGCATCTGTGCATTCTATGGTGACAAAATTCTCTGTTCAGAAAGTTGACTTTCAATAAATCTTAATTCTAAAATTTACTAGATTTAAAGCTCATTAGATTGGGGAAAATAGTCCTGGGAACAATAAGACTGTTAAATATTAGAATTGTTCATCATTCGTTCGGAAGTCAGTTAAAAGTGTTAATTTAATTTATAATATTCTGGTTTAAGCAGTTCTAATGGCGATTCAAAAAATTTTAAAAAGTCAAGAATTTTGATCAGTTTTTAAAAGTCTTTGCAGTTGTAAAATCTTAGAACTAAAAATATCTTAATTAAGGGATAAAGTTTAATTCAGTTACTAAATTGAAGTTTTCAATTGTACGTAAAGTTTCATATTTAAATTATTGATGTAGAATGTGGCATGAAGTGTTTTGGCGTGTTAAGGATTTGCGGCTATCTTCATTGTTAACCACTGCAACTGGGCAGTCAGATATTGGTACGAATCTGCATAACTTTAAAACGCAGGTGCCTGTGGGATGACCTCAATAAAACATGTTGGAAATGAAAGATAAGTTTTCAAAAGCAGAGAGAGAATGAGATTAGTAACTAGAATGATTGATTTAATTGTTATGTTGTAAATCTAAAAGCCCAATTAGCAGTTGTGTTATGATACAAATTGGAAGTAGTAATTACTACTAATTGGAATAATTAGTAATAACCAATTCAAAGTAGCTATAAACTAGGCGCATGTTCATCGTTCAGTAATTTGATTTGCTTATCTCGATTATTTCACGATCATTAATAACTGTTCTAAAGTTCAGGTTGGTTGTTCAGGTTGGTTGAGATAATCACATTTTTATTTGTTTTTTGGACGTGGACTCCACGCGGAAAGTTGAAACTTTAAATGAATACCTCCGATTTCATGGTTAAAGTTAAAACTTTTACAGAATGTTCCAACTGCCCTGAATTTAAATTCTTTTACCGTGAATTTATACGTTGATTCACGGAATGTTTAGAGAAAATAACAAGTAAATTGTTGGTAGTGATACAGCAGATTTTATATCATCTGCGGACCTCAAACCAAATGATATTCAAGGTTTTAAGAGGCTGTATTTTGATTTTTTATATCTTGTCGATTCTCGCTCAAATACAAAGAAAAGTTTACTGAAAAACGCAAAAAGCTAGTTTTGAAGCAATGAAATTTCATTATTTTCATTGAAATTGTATTGCGCGAGGGTTTATAAGATTGACATGAGATTTGATTAAGATATTGCAAGATTATCGTTGAGAGTGACAGGAAGAAGATCATTGGTTAATGTTTAAATTAAAGTGAGAAACTAAGAGGGAAGTAAGAGCAGATAATTGAAACAACTAAATTTAATGTAATGGATCATAACATGATACATAACGGAGGTTTTACCATTTCCTTACCGAAATTTGTAGTTTTATTTCTTCTAATACTTGTGACTGGTTTTGATTGACGATGTCAATCCTTTGCTGCTCGGTGCGGCCCAGTGGTGCATCGCACCGATCTAACGAAGTGGTAGCGAGAAACATTATATAAATATTGTCCCAAATTTCCCCCACCTGAGAAAAACAATATTCTTACAAGGCGAACATTTTACGAGTGTGCTAACTCGCTCTACACTCGAATAAGAGATTTATCTCAAAGGGCCCCCGACAGTTGAAACCTACTTGAATTGATGTATTTCAAACAATGATCCCGAATCACCCCACATGACATAGGGTTAAAATGCTCCTATGTCGAGATATCGGCGAAAAATTGTTTCGATCACGTCTCACGATCTAGCAGTCACGATCTGAGGATAGAGAAAGGTCGCTACAACTCAGCACTGAAAACATGTCGTTTTTTCTGCTCCTCAGACACGGCCGACGTCATGCGGTTCTTTGAAGAACTACCATTCTTTGAAACACCAATTCTTGAAACCGTAATTTAGCTTATGACAGGAGATATTGGAGAAATTACAATGAAGTTGTGGTATTTAGTTATTTGTTTTAGGGAAAGATTAGACTTGGGCGTTGTTTTTAGTTTTACCTACTCTTGTTTAGAACTTTTATTTAATGAACATTAAAGCCTGAGGTAGGTAATTAGAGAAGGATTACAAATTTAATGTTTTCTAAGTGCGTAATTACTAATACTTAATCTAGCTCAAGACTTAAATTAGCTGAAATAACAAACACAGCTCGTCTGCAATTCCATCATGTTTGTAGTAAGGGATCGTTCACATATATTACGTAATCAGCTGAGGGGGGGGGGGGGTTCCGAATGATTACGTTAGTGTAATTTTGACACAATAGCTATGTGTAAAACAGATTACGGAGGGGGGGGGGGGGGAAAGTAAAAATGTTCCAAAAATGATTACGTAATATGTGAACGACGCCTAGCTAACCGATAAGTCGCAACAATTCATAATTAGTGGCAGCTAGCTATTCTGAATAACACAAAAACTTCACAATATAATGGAATTTATCTAAATGAACTACGTTTGACCGCATGAAATGACAATTGACTACACTAATTCAAATTGGAGCTGACGTTCTCATAGAGCCTTTAAGTTTTAGTTCGTATCGACTGTTCGACAGTTTGTTCATGTTTTAAAAGTTTTTGGTAAGGAAATTGTTGTTTCCAATATTATACTAACTTGCATAATCAATAATCATTAATCCCTATCGGCTATCTTTATTTATACTGCCATTTGAACGTACAGTTTGTGAGTATAATTATACAGTTCTAGTCAGCTAAATCTGATAGCATCCATTTACGCGACATTTATCTAACATTAAACAAGCTGAGCTTGAGCTATGAAAATATGTCTGGTGTATTATAGGTGTACGTTATATATGGTAGTCAATGTGCAAATTTCATGAGAAAATGCTCGAGCCTCGACTGTATCAGCTGTTCATCAGCAAATAAGGATATAAGTAAAACTTTGTTGGTCGAAAAATTTCTGTGAGTAATTAAGTAGGCTATGCTCCATTACTCCCGTAGGAATAATAATATCTACGCAGTCAGTCACAATTATACCAACGTGTTACTTCGTGAATACACACGTTATAGACTCGGGATACAATTATAATCACATGATGCTCACTTGATTGCAACGTATTTAGATATATTTCAGATGAACGTGTAAGTTTCCTAGTGACCATCGCTTACTAGCTTTAATAATATTTACTACTTTCAAACATGGGCAGCTTACGAACAATTCTTTACAATTTCTTCGGATATACGTTTTGGTCCGTTACGTGCAAAAAAGGCGATTTTATTTTGTTATTTGTTTATTTAGGTTCAATTAAACAGCTGTTGCGTGATCGACATCGCTTACAAGTTACACCGTATGTTGGGACTACTTTTAATGCGATATTATGATCTGTAGAGGAATTTGTTTCCCTTTTAATCAATCAAGCTAGATGAATTGTTGTAAATACTGAGATCAAACTATCAATTTACAGGCTATCGTCAAACATGTTGCAAGGCGTCATCTTCAGTGACATAAGCCCTAAAAATGATCGTGTATGTGCATTTTCTCTAAACGAGGTTGCTCAGCGCTTCACAATTTCTCGTACCTACTTCAGTGTCTTTAGTTGAATCAGTCGTTAGTTCCATTTATATTATATTTTTAGTCTTTAACGATATATTACTTGTATTTTTTGTTGAGTTTTCATTAAAGTTTTAAACGTAGTCAGTTTTGTGATCTGACAAAAAGATTTTAAATTAAAATCTTTTTGCTAGTCTACGACTTCTGATCGACTTTTTAATTTTATTATTTCGCCTTTACTCTAAGCTGATGACACAGTCGTCTGATGGAAACGTCTAACTCTAAGCTATTTTTGAGTATTTTTAGCTAATTGGTCGTCTCAAGGTTCGGATCTGAGTAGACCTTACTTTTCAAATACCCGGTGGTATAGTAGCTGAATTAACGTTACTGCACACTTTGTATATTTATCCATTCTTCATATTCAAATTTCTCAACTTCTTAGTATAATCATGATAGTGTAACAAATACAATATACTGATGAAACTTTTGTCGTTAATCGGCCTGATAGTGATACTGTCCCTGACTTTCCTTCCAACACATTGCGGTAAGTTATTTTTATTTCAGATTCCTGTTCAAAATCAGAGTTGAATGATGAAAATTTCATATGAATATTTACAAATGCAGCTGATTGAAACTAGAGTTGCATTTGAAACCTGTTTATATATGTAATTTTCAAGTACTATTTCGTAATATTGTAAGTCTTTGAATTCTTGTGAAAATTAGGCAAAGTTGTCGTTTGAAAGTTTGTTTAGTAAGGTTGATTAGCTGAATAATTGCGAGCGTGCTAAATCACTCTACAGCAGTCGATCTTCGAGATTTTTTAAAAATATAAGGGCCCCTGACAGTTGAAATCTGTACCTGATTTTGATGTATTTTCGAACGCTGATAGTGAATCCGAATCACCCCCATGATATAGGGTTAAAATACTACCATAGCGAGATATTGGCGAAAAACTGTCTCGGTCACGTGATATGACCATATATTACGGAAGTTAGTCTAATTTCTTGTTATAGGGTTAGGGTTTTAGCAGATGCTTTAATTATTAGAGATTGGGTTAGGGTTAGGGTTGGGATCAGATTATAAGAGGGCTATGATTTCGAATAGCCATTCAGGGCCACCAAGAGAACGTGTTTAAAAAGTCACGCGACAGTTGACTAGTTGAGTGTAGAGTAATTAATCATCATCCGCCGCTGGGCGTATTACTCCAGCTCTTATAGTTATACAGGTGATCGCGTTTTCATTCACAGCTTGTATTGTTCAAGATCGCGCGTGCTCGTAAGTTTATTGCACGCTTCAAACATTCCAAGAATGGGCAGTATCGAGATAGCCCGACCACGGTCCGCGGACCACGGTCCGCGGACCACTGGTCCGCGGACCACTCTCTGCGGACCACTGTCCGCGGACCACTGTCTACCAGATCATATTACTGTATAATAACAGTATCCCCTGAATCAAGCAACAGGTGTTTGTGAATAGTTGATTGGTTACCAGATCATATGAATGGTATGTATGGTATCTTGGATGCAATTAGTTACGACTAGCATAATTAATTGTAGCGTAGTAAATTACTGGATCAAACTATTGATTACGATTCAAATGTGGTCTCTCGGATATAATTAGTTACGAATAATATTGATTGCTCAATGAAATAAATGATTACGATTAAAATGTGGTATATAAGTCGTTCGTTTTTGGTGAAGTATTATCAGTCAACAACAACTATTCCAATTCCTGACATGGTACTCTTCTGTCTAATGATCCAACTGGAGGACTAGGCTGCAATACATCGGCTGGAGGTGATGGGAGCAGGGATGTTTGTGATCCTTGCTGTGTAGTTGGGCTAGTGAAGGGTTCAGCGTTGTCTCTATCTATCGTGTCTTCAGGAGTTGGTGGAATGGAGTCCGGGAGTTGATGCTCAGGACAAAGCTTTGTTATCTTTTTTGTAGTAGAATGTAGGATCCCATCGAGGACTGAAGATTCTCGGTGGACATTCATAACAACGCAGTTGTTACATTTGGAGCGGACACGAGGAGCATGAGCAGAGGAGTTAGCAAGACCTCCGGCATCAGAAGATGCTACAGGGTCATGAGCAGCGCATGATATACCAGCATGCCTCTTGTTGCAGAAAACGCAGAAGCTTGGGTTGGCTCTGGAGACGATGAGGGTTTTACCAGCTTGAGTCCACTTGTCGAGAGGTGAGATAGGTTTGCAGATAGGGTCGCAGGGTAGGGCTGAGTTCATCCGTTTCGTTTTCTCTGAGACCATAGTTGTAGTTGTTCAAGAAGGAGTTGATGATAGAAATGATTGATGCAGTCTGATAATAGTTATTCTTTATATATTGCATGATGTGAACTGATCTCGTAAGGTTGCTTAATCGTTTAATAAGCCTTGACACCACCGCTGATTGGAATTCGCGTGCGATGATGTGAACCCTGCTTGACTCAGGGGATGATGTGAACCCTGCTTGACTCAGGGGATGATGTGAACCCTGCTTGATTCAGGGGATACTGTTATTATACAGTAATATGACAGTGGTCCGCGGACAGTGGTCCGCAGAGAGTGGTCCGCGGACAGTGGTCCGCAGAGAGTGGTCCGCGGACCAGTGGTCCGCAGAGAGTGGTCCGCGGACCAGTGGTCCGCGGACCGTGGTCGGGCTATCTCGATACTGCCCAAGAATGCGATTGCATAACGCGCTCAGCCTGTCATTCCGCCTAATCTCTATGATTATGAACATAAACATAATAGCCTGGGGTCTTGACGGATGTTACTCGTCTAAATTTCTTCGAAGTATAGCGCGCGCCGCTTTCTTCTCGAAATGGCCCGACCACCGACGGCACGAGCTACGAAGTAGCGCGCGCCGGGCCAGATCATTAACAATGGTCAACCTGGGGTCCCCAGGTAAACGTAAACTTAAAGTTAGGCCCCAGCCAGGAAACCTTACCGGTTCATTTTTTAAAACTTTTACTTTTACAAAGCATAACTCGCCACCATGAATGAAGTCAAATTTTTATTTCAAAATATCAAAAGAAAGTTACGAATTTCACAAACACAAAAGGATCCCTTCCATCCCCGGCCCCCTCCCTGCATGTGCTATCATCTTCTGCAGCTTTTCTGAACTCTCGGCTCTATATCTAGCTCTCTCATGATTAAATTAATTGTAGGTTTTACAGTTAATTATGTTAACTATTTAGCACTAAAGAAACATAACAGGCCATGTGAGCTCCTGCTAGAATTATCAGACACTGCCATCATAAGAACAGTTTTGCTCTTATAAATCGTTGAAAATTTCCACGATTTATTTTATGATATAATTTTTTTCGATAATCCCTTAGATTGAAACTATTTCATTTAGGGTCCGGTCGCGGTACACAGGAGGACTATAGTGCAAAGAAACTGCTGCTAACTGCTGAAGCATGCGAACATAGCAAAATACCTATATCAATCAACTGTGGCGAGGAGAGGATAAATATCAAGCATGCGGCCTATGGTGTTTACTCCAATGAGAACACTTGTGACAGTTCTTATGGTGAAGACTGTATCTCAGAAACTTCACTTCAGGTCTGAACTTGTTAACAATAGATATACTATACGTTCGAACTTATTTATTGTATTACGTGTATGTTCATTGTAATGGTGTTGGAAAAACTTTGTAAATAATAATCCTTAACCAAAAAATTACTATTCATCATGTTGAGTCAACATTGTTGACACTGACAGCAGATCTCAAACGATTTCCTTTTTGAATTCAGGCGATGAAGGAACGATGTGATGGAAAGAATTCCTGTGCAGTAGAAGCATTAAACAGTATATTTGGAGATCCTTGTGTTGGAATTAACAAATACTTAACTGCTACCTGGGAGTGCCATTCAGGTTAAATTTTATATTATTCATAAAATGTTGTTTGTTTGTTTATAAGTTTGTAAGTTTATAGAACAAGTACAAAGAATATTTGTTTTTTAGTTAACATCGCTGAGTAGCTAAAATAATCTCCATTACTCTCAACTAGTCTCTCAGGGCAAATTGCTGAAATATTAGCCAATCACAGCAGATTCTCTAAGACTCCGGATTCTTTAAAACTCCGGATAAGCATTTTAGTCCGTGAGAAAGGGAGAATAGCTGCAATCTTAGCGCTTTTTGTTTTTATTTTAGTTTAATTGAACAGTAATTTAAGGGTTTTTGACCATTCGACCACGTATATTATATTTTGAAGCAATGATTAATCGCTGATCAAAGATGAAATGATATCATCTTTTATCGAAGTGACCAAGACCACTTCAAGCTTGCTAAATTAACGAATTCTGCTGCCAACAAAGTTTCTTTCTATTTTACCATCTTCCCAAACATAAGGAAATACATCAGAAAACAAATTTGAAATTATGTTTACACAGGGGAAGACAGCACGCCGGTGTACACGAATCTGGCCCTGAAACAGGTTGCAGAGCAACAAGATAATTATAGAGACTCTGCAAAATCATTTGCCTCGAACGCAGTAGATGGGAACCGAAATGGAAATTATGAGTCAAAGTATGTAATTAAAATTTATGTATATTTAATGTTAGATTGTTTGCTTCAATGGTTGTAAAATACACTTCTGCAAATCAATTGAGCACTTTTTGGGAAACCAGAAAAAATATATCAATTGATTTTATTATATTATTGCCATGATGAAAAATGGCAATTCAATATTCCAACAATCAATAAAAGTTCGTTTCGTATTCAGGGATCGGTCAGTTTCTCATACGAAATCAGATAATGGCTGGTGGAAAGTAACCCTAAAAGAGAGTTCTTCCATTTCTTATATCGATGTCTACAACCGGTTTGATGGGGAAAAGGGTCAAGCAAGACTAAAAGATGCTAACGTGACATTGGATGGGGAATTAATCGGGACTATTCCACAAGTCTTTGGAAAACAAAAGTACACCATACCGGTCAATAAAGCTGGTAGGTTATGGATTTAAATGTTAATAAAATATCATTAAGATTTTTTTTAAACAGCATGTTCCAAGGAAAAAGTTCAAAATATCGATTCAAGTGATTATTATAGAGGACGAATATATATATTTCAAAGGTATTGTAAGAAATATCTAACAGCAGCCTCAATACAGGGAAAGAGGTAAAGATAAAGGCAGTTTCTGGTGGAAAACTTCATCTTGCTGAGGTGGAGGTATACAGCTTGTCAGATACAACAATTGGTTAGTAACTATTTAACAGTTTATTAAACCACAGCACGGCCTTGGTTTAAAAATGGTTAACGTTCAGGATGTAAATTTTAATCCAGGCTGTATTGATCCAATGATAAAGATGGCACGAAAGAAATAACCATTTACACACTTTTATGAATTTTGCGGTTAATCACTTAAAACAAGGCAGTACTGTAATACGAAATATGGCTAAAAAATAAACAATCACCAAAATCAGGTTTCTACACCATCATGTCAAAGGGTTTTTTATTTCGGTACTATTTTTGTGTTTTATTTTAGAAAAATTTTGTATAGTACATTTAGGTAAATCACACCTTCCAAGGATAATCTTTTACTTTTCCAGTGCTCTTTGAAAGTTACAATCTTCTTTCAGATATATCGGTGCAAAACCAAGAGGTAATTCGGGGCTCTAGCACAATAATCTCTTGTGTAGTGACAGGTAACCTACAAGCCATCAAGATAACCTGGAGAACTGATAAAGGTATAGTTGGTAGTGATAATGGTATCACTGTCAACACAGAGCTAAACAGACATCCACAAACATCCACTCTTGCAATAAAGTCCATTCAACACGATGAGACATTCACCTGTGAAGTTAATCCAACTGATGATAAGCAAGCTCTGAGGGAAGTGACCGTCTTTGTTTACAGTAAGTAAAAACAATTGGTCACAACTATTTTGAAGGTTTAAAATTTAAATCAATCAGTTCGGTACCTTGATTTATATATCATGCTTGTTATATAATATAAATTGTAGAATTGGTAAATGTACCTTTATCAAAACTTATTTCAGACGTTAGTTCAATGAACAAAGAAATGAAAAAGGGTTCTGCCTCAACGATATCCTGTGTTATCACTGGAATAACGGAAACAGCAACAGTGACCTGGCGAACTAGTACAGGACCAGTTCCAGCTGAAAAGTTCACCTCTGTTCAAGGAAGCAACTCCGGAGGGACTCAGACATCAACTCTTGCTGTTGAGGGAACTCTTGTGAATGAAGATACTGCCTACACTTGTAGAGTCACTTCCATCTCTTTACCTGATTCCAGCCACTCGGATACTACCGTCAATCTTAACGTATACGGTATGTTCTTAAACGCTAACAGTCATCTTGCATTACGGTTTTTTTGATGTCAGTACTCATTTTTATCTCAGAGCCAAAAATCCAAATGCTTTACAAAAATGTATTTCAGACGTTGAATCTGTAAACAAAGAAGTGAAGAAGGGCTCAGATACAACCATATCCTGTGTTATCACTGGATTGACAGAAACAGCAACAGTGACCTGGCGAACTCGTACTGGACTAGTTCAAGATGAAAAGTTCACCCCTGTTCAAGAAAGCCACTCCGGAGGGACTCAGACATCAACTCTTGCTGTTGAGGGAACTTTAGTGAATGAAAATACTGCCTACACTTGCAGAGTCACTACCGGATCTTTACCTGATTCCAGCCACTCGGATAGCACCGTCAATCTTAACGTTTACGGTATGTTCTTAAACGCTAACAGTCATCTTGCATTACGGTTTTTTTGATGTCAGTACTAATTTTTATCTCAGAGCCAAAAATCCAAATGCTTTACAAAAATGTATTTCAGACGTTGAATCAGTACACAAAGATGTGAAGAAGGGCTCAGATACAACTATATCCTGTGTTATCACTGGATTGACAGAAACAGCAACAGTGACCTGGCGAACTAGTACTGGACCAGTTCCAGCTGAAAAGTTCACCCATGTTCATGGAAGCCAATCCGGAGGGACTCAGACATCAACTCTTGCTGTTGACGGAACTCTTGTGAATGAAAATACTGCCTACACTTGCAGAGTCACTACCGGATCTTTACCTGATTCCAGCCACTCGGATAGCACCGTCAATCTTAACGTATACGGTATGTTCTTAAACGCTAACAGTCATCTTGCATTACGGTTTTTTTGATGTCAGTACTCATTTTTATCTCAGAGCCAAAAATCCAAATGCTTTACAAAAATGTATTTCAGACGTTGAATCAGTACACAAAGATGTGAAGATGGGCTCAGATACAACTATATCCTGTGTTATCACTGGATTGACAGAAACAGCAACAGTGACCTGGCGAACTAGTACTGGACCAGTTCCAGCTGAAAAGTTCACCCATGTTCAAGGAAGCCAATCCGGAGGGACTCAGACATCAACTCTTGCTGTTGACGGAACTCTTGTGAATAAAGATACTGCCTACACTTGCAGAGTCACTTCCGGATCTTTACCTGATTCCAGCCACTCGGATACCACCGTCAATCTTAACGTATACGGTATGTTCTTAAATGCTAACAGTCATCTTGCATTACGGTTTTTTTTGATGTCAGAACTAATTTTTATCTCAGAGCCAAAAATCCAAATGCTTTACAAAAATGTATTTCAGATGTTGAATCAGTACACAAAGATGTGAAGAAGGGCTCAGATACAACTATATCCTGTGTTATCACTGGATTGACAGAAACAGCAACAGTGACCTGGCGAACTAGTACTGGACCAGTTCCAGCTGAAAAGTTCACCCATGTTCAAGGAAGCCAATCCGGAGGGACTCAGACATCAACTCTTGCTGTTGACGGAACTCTTGTGAATAAAGATACTGCCTACACTTGCAGAGTCACTTCCGGATCTTTACCTGATTCCAGCCACTCGGATACCACCGTCAATCTTAACGTATACGGTATGTTCTTAAATGCTAACAGTAATCTTGCATCACGGTTTTTTTTTATGTCAGTACTAATTTTTATCTCAGAGCCAAAAATCCAAATGCTTTACAAAAATGTATTTCAGACGTTGAATCAGTACACAAAGATGTGAAGAAGGGCTCAGATACAACTATATCCTGTGTTATCACTGGATTGACAGAAACAGCAACAGTGACCTGGCGAACTAGTACTGGACCAGTTCCAGCTGAAAAGTTCACCCATGTTCAAGGAAGCCAATCCGGAGGGACTCAGACATCAACTCTTGCTGTTGACGGAATTCTTGTGAATGAAAATACTGCCTACACTTGCAGAGTCACTACCGGATCTTTACCTGATTCCAGCCACTCGGATAGCACCGTCAATCTTAACGTATACGGTATGTTCTTATACGCTAACAGTCATCTTGCATTACGGTTTTTTTGATGTCAGTACTAATTTTTATCTCAGAGCCAAAAATCCAAATGCTTTACAAAAATGTATTTCAGACGTTGAATCAGTACACAAAGATGTGAAGAAGGGCTCAGATACAACTATATCCTGTGTTATCACTGGATTGACAGAAACAGCAACAGTGACCTGGCGAACTAGTACTGGACCAGTTCCAGCTGAAAAGTTCACCCATGTTCAAGGAAGCCAATCCGGAGGGACTCAGACATCAACTCTTGCTGTTGACGGAATTCTTGTGAATGAAAATACTGCCTACACTTGCAGAGTCACTACCGGATCTTTACCTGATTCCAGCCACTCGGATAGCACCGTCAATCTTAACGTATACGGTATTTAGCCAAAACCCAATAAATTGGGTAGGATGGACCGTCGCCTTAAGTCAGTTATTGAAATTATATTTATAATGCTACTTATCAGCTGCGTTACACAAAGCTGTGCAATAAAAGTATAATAAAACGAGTCAAAGATGTGATATAAAAAAGTGACCGTTCTTGTCCCGTAACAGCGCGGTCGCTTGCTTTGACCGTCATGTCACCAAATCACGAAATTTAGACTTTCGAATCTTCTTTAGCATTAAATACAAAAACACCTATTTGATATTTACAACAACGTCAAGTTTGAACTACAAACTACCACTTTGTCTTTATTACGTGGCCGTCTCTATACTTAGTTTATTAATTTCCGCAAACTACACGTTTATTGATTTCCACAAACAACAAATGAGTTATAATTAAACTGCGTACGCCGTGCAACTACATGCATGATGGAAGCTTTATCTGCTTTGATCAGTTTATACGCTCAGGCTCAGAGTGCAATTATGAATAAAAATCAAAACGATTACAGTTATGTCTTTTGAATCAAAATATTTAATGGACAAGTTTTGCTTGGATTTGAAATAAATGAATGGCAGTGTAAAACATAAATTGAAAGTGAAACTCACGTCTTGCAGTCTTTACTTACTAATACTGATGTCAATAGTAAACAAAATTCTTACTTATTTTCGGGAGGTATATGTTTAAAGCTTGAGTTTGGTAATACTAATTGATATCATTATAGTTATACACTTAAAGTTAATCGCATTTTATCTTTATAATACAAATTAAAATTATTCTGGTTTAGTTTTACTTTCAGCGCTATTTTTATTAGAACAATTAAATCACTACAATTCTGTTGCATTTATCAAGGAATGAATATTGAATACAATTTAGTTGTATGTTATGTTTGTAATGAATTTCCAGCTGTCTTTCTCGTCTGCATCGGCCATCGCGTTCAAAATTTATTTACGTCTGTTTTTTACATAAAATATGCATGTTCATGATACAGCCTTCATTATTTTCTGGCATTGTTACCGATTATGTGATTGTTCTGGATAAAAATATCGTAAACTTTAATTTGCCTACTTAATTTAAATTACGACCCAGTTCTAATAGTTCTATAAGTTTCAACTATAATATCAATAGTTAAACTTAATCTAAATTTTAATTAACAATGTTGATGAGTGATTTGGTGACATGACGGTCAAAGCAAGCGACCGCGCTGTTACGGGACAAGAACGGTCACTTTTTTATATCACATCTTTGACTCGTTTTATTATACTTTTATTGCACAGCTTTGTGTAACGCAGCTGATAAGTAGCATTATAAATATAATTTCAATAACTGACTTAAGGCGACGGTCCATCCTACCCAATTTATTGGGTTTTGGCTAAATTACTTATGCAAAATTCAACAACAAAAAATAATTTAAAACATCACAAATATAAACAAATAAATCAAAACAAACATCAACATAATATTACATAATAACAGCAAATAACAACAAATTGCACGAAGAATTAATACATCAAAATCGTAAATTGATATCAATTTGCTCAGACACAAATTAAAACATTTTTAGTTGGCAGAAACTTTCCATAATAAGAATAATTGACGGACTGCGAGCCGAGAGAGGCATTACGCTATCACAAGCAGCCCATCTTACATGATATCATTAAAGGCAGATATACATCAAAATCGTAAATTGATATCAATTTGCTCCGACACAAATTAAAACATTTTTAGTTGCCAGAAACTTTCCATTATAAGAATAATTGACAGACTGCGAGCCGAGAGAGGCATAACGCTATCACAAGCAGCCCATCTTACATGATATCATTAAAGGCAGATAAGGTGAAAAAATGATTCCATCTTCTGAGAACATTTAACCCCCTAATCCTGATAATGATATGACACTTTGGTGATAAAGTTTTGCTAATATTCTAAGTCTAAATAGTTTCATCAAAGGTTGTACTATAGGATGATTGAATGGTCTGGCAGTTATATATTTTTCGATGTTCACCAGAGAGAAGACGCCACAGTCATAACCATTTCTTTGAATACTGGATTGACCATCAACAAATGTATAGTCATCAGTATTCAAATCTCCATTGACAACAATAGGTAGCTTGTCTCTGAAAATAATGTGCGATTTTAGACTATCAGTGTGAACAAAGCAATGCCCATTCTAACAGTAACAATAAATTGTGACTAGCAAATATAACATTTATATTGCATTTGTGTTAAACGTTAAACTCACCTCTGGTATTGTCGGAAGTCTTTAAGTAGCCTTAAATGTGAGTGGCAACGATCTTTCATGGTTACGGTTGAGCAATTTTGGGAGTCAAAGTGCAGAACCTGTACAAGGAACACGATTAATACCGATAAACGCTGAGATATTTTAAGATTGCTGTCATACTAATCGTAAAATCTTCTCAGTTTAAATTGATTTTGTATATTTTTAAAAAGCAGACTGCAGTCATAAACACAGCCCAGTTACCAGGCGACCATGGGTACTAGGGGGCCTATTTTTTTCTGGGGTTCAATTCCCCCCTCCCCCCCTGGCTACGTGCCTGATCAGACCAATCGCAAAAGCTTCTCAGTTTAAATTGATTTTATATAATATTTTGAATAACGCATACCTGTCGATTTCTGTTGTCAATGATGACCGTATACCAATGATTACCAGGGTTGCCGACCATAGCAATTATATCATACGTCATCGGATCTCCGTATTGTATTATGTGATCCCTAGGAGTGAAGGGGAGAACTTTGAACTGTCTGAAATATATAGGTTTAGGAATTGCATTCGATTTTTGCATACCTTACACTTTTTATCAATCAATTTACCAACACAAGAACAGTCGTTGCTATAATTACGAAATAAATGGACAAAAGTGTCAAAGAATTAATAGACAAAAACGTCAAATTTACTATACCTAAGTCGAGTGAACGGCCTTTCGGCAAATGTGTTCCTTATGAAATCTTCAAGCAATCCAGATTGACGGCGACGCCCACGCACACTCCGATAAGCACCACAGTAAGGTCCCATACTGTACAGAGTTGGACCTGCGTCCTCAGCCAAACCATCTTTGATCACCGCAATATACTTTGCAATGGTAGACCCGGTCAACCAGAGATCACGGGTCTGTCTACAGTTGAATGGGTCGGGGTCCAACTCTAAAGCAGATCTCAAAATGAAGCTGTTTGGGGAGTTGGCTCTAAAACAGGGTACCAGAGCTCTCCTGTATACCTCCATCATTTCTGAGCCGCTCACAATATCAGCAGTTGGAATAAATTCGTCAGGAATTCCAGCGTGAATTTGATTTATGTGTGTGCTGATGTTAGCTGCAGATAAATTGGAGTTCCTCTCAGCAGTTGGCTTCTTTTTCTTTGATTTGGTGGACTGCTTTTTCTTAGGACCTTTTCTCTGATCATCTGTGTGATTCTTCAAAATATCGTCGAAGGTCGCCTTTGCTTTTTTTGCTGCGTCAGTTTCGTACCAGATGCGTTCCGTCTTTTTCTTCGGCTTTCTTTTCTTGCCTTTTTTGCTCGAATCTGGCTGATCATCAGTCATGAAATGTATACCTGCTGCTATAATTGGCTTACTCTTTAGTCGGACATATTCATTGATAGCTAGATGATCAACTTTTATCCGGGACTCATCTATGTTTACCAAATAAAGTCCCTCAAGAGTCTTGCACCTGCTTAAAGCGACATAAATCTGACCAGTTGCAAAGATCATAGTGCCTAAATCGCAAAACACGTGACTCAGAGACATGCCCTGCGCTTTGTGGATGGTGAGGGCGTACCCGGTGCTGATAGGAAACTGTCGACGATGGAGGTATGACTCTTCGAACAACTTCACTTTGCGAGTATCCCTTGTTATTGCAACATCGCCATCGACTCCGTCAAATTGCACTAAAAGTTTCTCAACGATTGAGTTTGGGTCGTCGGACAGCCGCACGATTTGTTTGACTATTCCCATAGCACCATTCACGAGCCCTTTCGCGGTATCAATGTTTTTTCTGAGCATTATTCGGACACCCTCGCTTAAAATGAGGCACTTTTCAAGGTCGGCTGTATTTCGAGAATCACCCAATTTATCAATCTTCAGAACTGCATCTAATGCCTTTTTTTTGTCAGCTTTTGTTCTGCCGTCGACTTCATCGTCTGCTTCAACTTTAATTGTATCAGGAAAGAGTTTTTTCATGACTGTGGCGTTAAAAGATTCCATCATGTTTCGTTTGGGTAATAGACAGACAGTAGTAGGGAACTGTTTCTGTAAACTGAGGTAGTAATCAACGATTTGATCCAAGTGTTGGCTAGGCAGTTCGCATGGTCTGACTGGGATAAGCCGCTCTTGCAGAATGTTAATGTCTTCTAGACTCTGACGGCCAATACGAATCCTGCCAAGCATACCACTCCATTTTTCGTTAGCATCTCCATGTTGCCGTTGATTTATAGTGAGTTCATCAAACTCAAAGTTCTCCCAAAGGTGACTCGGGATTCTAAGGCCTCCAGTTAAATTATGGACATCGTCCCCAGACAAATCCTGAAATGGCCGTTTGCCATGAACAGGAGGCAACTGTAGAAGATCTCCAAAGACGATAACGGTTTTTCCGCCGAACAACTCATCAGCACCGAAGATCTCTTGCAATTTTAAGTTTATTGACATCAACATCTCTGCCGACACCATGCTAATCTCATCGATAACAAGCAATGCTAAGTCTTTGAGTACAGTCCTTGTTTGCTGCATCGAATTCTTCTTGAGTGCGGTATACTTGGGCAGTTTTTCACCATGCTCAACTGGCAAACTAAAAAGACTATGAAGCGTTTGTCCTCCCACATTTGCTGCAGCAAGCCCTGTTGGTGCAGTCAACGCAATATCAGTTGATTCATCGAAGAGGTTTTTTTGCACCCAAAGATACCCTTGAAGAGCTTTTATCAAATAAGATTTTCCTGTTCCGCCAAACCCACTTACATATAAATTGAGAGGTCGACTGCACTCTTTGCCCGTGCATTCTTTGTCCCTGTGTCGAACCATATGCTCAATATGTTTGGTGACTTTGACGTACACTCTTTTTTGATCTTCGTTCAATGTTTTGACGAACGATTCGAGTTCCCTATGAGACTTTATTTCGCTTCTATCGTTGACTATCTCAAAATCTCGTAGGCCGGATCTAAGACCTTGATTTCCGAGATCGATGTCATCCTCAGCCTGTGAAGGAGTAGCTGTCCCAGATGCTGCCATTTTTGCTTCTGCTTCCTTTTCCATCTTCTCTCTAGCCTTTTCAATATTGATCTTCTTGCTAGACATTTCCTTGAGCTGTGAAAAGTCCTCGACGGCATCAAAAAACGCATCGCTGTATTTGTCATGAGAGCTTGCGATGTCCGCTTCATCTCGCCAAGGCTTATAAAGAGATAACATGCTGTAATAAAACAGCTCAGGGTCAGTATTTAAGGAATAGTTGTGATGGTATATAACGGGTTCTTTCTTTCTCCGTTGAAGAGTTCGTATATATTTTCCATCTTCACTTTTGATCTTGATATACTTGTCTTCGTCTTTCTTTTCAAATTTTTCAGGTTTCCCTATCGCTTTTTCGTACTTAGAGACAAAGTCGTAGAGCGTCATGCTTTCAAAATCCTTTGTTCGAGGCCTATTGGGATAAAAAACGTGTACCCAATCGTCAAAGAATAGATTAGTGCTGTCAGGCTTCTGATTCTGTAAGTCACTAAGGTTCCTCATTACCCTAGTCCTACGATCTGGAGTGGTGGATGGGAGCCACACAAAAGTCTCTGAGGATCTCCATAGTTCGCCACTGTTTTGAAGGATCCTATCAGCTGCTTCATGTGCCCCCATTTCACGAGATTTGAGAAGCTGGAATGCAAACTTGGAAAGATTCTGATACGATGTTTTGGACAGATCTTTCAAGTCTGCTTCATCAATGTCTACAACACTCGTTTCTCCCTTTGTTATGTATTTGGTAACATACTGCGTGATCGAGTGACTGTCTTCCGCAAGGAATTGAATGTCCATATTACCTTTCCAGAGAAAGGATAATATTGGGTTATAGTCATTTATTCTTCTTTCTTCTTCACTTCTTGGCAAATCATACAATCGTTGCTTCATCTGCTTTGTTTTTCTTCCAATCACACACGAGAGAACATCATGAAGGATAAATTTCTGTGATTTTGGTCTTGGGAACCCAAATCTACAGGCGACTTGCGTTTTTGAACTAGTTTTGTTGGCCTTTGAAGGATTTTTAGTCTTTTTAAATGTTCTCAAGCAATACGGTCTACACGAATGATTTTGGTAGCTACCCACTACATCAAACAATGTTGCTTCATTCACTGGATCAGGAAGTTTGCAAGTGATGTGTTTTTGGATGAAGCTTGCAACCTCTGCATCAGAACTTTTGCCGATCAGGGGACTTTTATCAATCCAAATAAATGTGTGGAAGTGAATAGTACCTCGAGATTGATATTCATGTCTTACAAAGTATGACTTGACTTTCCCCAACGGTTCTGCATCAATTATAAACTTTAAAAGAGCATCGAACTTTTTGTGGATGTAAGTTGATGTCAATACAGGGTCCTTATTCAGCAAAGCAGAAGGAGACAGGTCATCTATATTAGGGATGTCACTGTTGACATCTTTTAAATGTTGAATCAGGTCCTCCCAGTCGTACTCATTGGGGCTAAAAGTGGCGAAAAAGGTTGGGGGACCAAACTTTTCAATTTGCGCTTTAAGTTTTGCGCGGGCACTTTCCCAATAAGCTTGTGTGTTCGGAACCAATCTCAATACTTTGTTTATCCTTTTCAATAATGCTGGATCTTTCATCTTGATTTTGTTGAGCAAAGTCGCCGCATCTAGGTGTCCCATGCCTTGTACATTTTTTAGCGTGGCGAAGATGCTAGAACGGATTTTTCTACGCTCATTCTCCCCTGCTAAGTGAAACAAATGCTGTACATTTCTTCGAGTTGGCCCATTGCTGGACATCAGTCTACACTTTTCGTATTGCAAGGGCTTCGCTTCTTCGCCTCTAAAACCCTTCCTTCCACCAACACCCCAGCTGAAGATCTCAGGAAAAGCCAGCAGGTCCAGCTTTGTGTCTGTCAGATCTACAGGATCATCATCTAATCTCAACAACCTGTATAGATCATCCATTAACTCAGGATTATCGTCGAGGATATCCATACCAGTGACAGTGAATTCTTCGATTAAGTTCTTGTAGTCTTCCTCAGTCATCTCTTCCATCATTTTCTTAGGCCCCTTTTTATCTCCATTATCTGATTTCACGTCCTCGAAGAAAATATTTGGACTTGAATACTCCTCTGCTGCTGAAGAAATCTTGGCAGATGAACCTGAAGCTGATGTCATATCAGAGGAATCATCACTACTTTCTGATCCGCCTCCAATTAAGTCGAGTGATTTCTCGCACTTGAAGCAGCACCCATGTAAAAGTGAGTTTGCCAATCGCTCAGAGTAGAAAACGTCTAAACTTTGGAGTACACTGGGATCACAGTCTTCAAGATTTACGGGTTGATTCTCAGGTGACGGCTTCTTGTACTTCGCGAGTCTTTTAAAGGCTGCTATAGTTGCTTTGAGATGTTTCTTGCAATGTTGACAATGGATGGACTTGACTAAAGCGGTGCCAATATGGCGAAGAATATGGTCGCTATAGAACATGTTTTTGGATCTTAAAGTGGACCTTTCTTTAGCAGAAATATTTTCAGGGAAGTTCTCCGTGAGAAGCCTAGTTTCTTCCTTATCTTTCAAGCCGATAACCTCAGAACATTTCATTTCCTCTGCAGGTAATTCCAAATCCTCGAACCTCTTATCGAGGATATCCTGGCAGAGGGAAATATGGTGATCACACTTTATGCACATACCATCTCTACGTGACTCATTATCATTAGCATTTGCATATAGCCCCTGTACTTCACAGTACGAGTCATACAAAGCTGTAGACCTTTTTTGTATTTTGAGTGTTAGAGATCGTGAGGGTTTCGTAAAGTGTGAAATGCCTTTGCTTGAC